GGGGAGTTGCAATACCACGCGGCTGCAGAAGATGGCATGCATTGCTGGGTTCACGTTGACTGCCACTTTGGGGGCTTTTTCTCGAGGCTGGGAATCATTTTCATTTTGGGGGGTAATTGATGACACCTGTTGTGGAGGGCGTTTTCCTCCATACGAGTATGGCACACAGGAGACAAGGAAGAAGGAGAGCGACGCCTCGCCAAAGGGGCGGCTGCTGGAATGTTGGCGAGACTCGGGATTGTCTGCACGGCCAGCTGCTTGCCCTCTGCAGGATGTTCCTTGAGGCTTTCATCGGCCTGAGAGTGAGGTGCACACACGGGCAAGCACCGCAACAACCGTGTTATTACTTCTCCGTTGCACGAATGGCACGACACACTTCAGTCGTGGCAGGTGACGTACCCTGCGAGCCCTCCTTTCTCTTTTGTTTCACAACTTGGCATTATCCGCATTTGGGCACCGCTCACATTGGCCGCCCTCTGTGACACGAGAGCCGCCTGTATTCCTCTCCATTGCATTGCAGAGTCGTGAGGAGGGCTTGAGGCTGCGTTGAGGAGCCGTGTGGCCTCTGCGAGCATGTCCTCTGTTTTTCTGAGGTGTTGAATTTTGGATTACCGAAACTCATATTGGGTGCTTGCGTTAGAAGTTTGCATGACTGAGCAGGAAACGTGTTCCTTGGAGGTGCAGGAGGGCCACGCCATTGGGAGAAGAAAGAGTGAATGGGTGAGTGGGTGTGTCTGTGGCCCATATGTGGTGCCCGACTGGTGCTTCACGTTGTTTGGTGCTATTATCATTTCCATTCACAGAGGATGGCGTTGGATGCAGCACCCACGAGTCCTTATGTCGTTGACTGAGGTTGCTTTAGTGCTGCTTCTCCCAACTATCTTTCTTTGTGTCTGTGTGTTGCGTGTGTGTGGAAATGGCTCCTCTTCCGTGCTGTGCATTTGCCGCATAAGGTGCAGATGCCACTTTTGAAATATGTAATGATTTGCGGCTTTTTTGGACTGTGCTTTGATCTGTACCGCCGATTGACAGTCGGACTGGAGGCGCTACTTTTCCTTCACTGTGATCACGTGCTATGTGTGTGTATGGGAGGCCTCTCAGGGAAGCGCTAGCCAAAATTCTTGCAAAGCCCATGTCTGGTGCCATACTTTTTGTTGACGCGGAATGAGTTGGCGTTCTGCATGAAATCTTCTGTGCATTCTTGCCGTGGTGCTCCTCATGCATGGCCCATGGAGAAGACTGGCTGAGGATCGTCAATGGGCTTCTTGTTGAGCCGAGGGGCGCATAACGTTTTCTTTTGCTCATTGAGAGCCCGGGCGTCACGGATGATGCATGTGACAGGCGGAACCTCGTGCATGGCGGAATGAGGAGAGGAAAAGCTGGTTGTTTGATTGTTGCTGACGAGTCCTGCCTCACTGCTTGGAGGGGGCTGTCGTTGTCTGGGGCAACCCGTTTTGTGTTGTCCAGACATTGCTTGCGCCGAGTGGTGGGGTGCCGTGTTGGTGTGTGCGGCACCGTCATGCGGGGCGACTGCGTGGCGTTTACGGACTGTGTGGCTGTGAGCTGATGAATGTGGCGGGAGGCGTGTCTGAGGGGAATCCGCGAACGAAGGAGTGACATGCGTTTGGCGGTGCTGTTGTTCGATGTGCAAGTGAGGAAGGGATACAAGTGATTTCTGACGCGTCGGTGAGTGTGCCACGGCCACCGATGAGTTCTCAGGGAGAGGGAAGGGAGGGAGGGAGACGGAGACTGTGCGCGTCGACCACAGCGTGTGGTGCCACAGGATGCGGTTGCCATTGTGAATGATGCAACGTCCGTCATGCGTGCAGCAGAGCGTCGTCTGCATCTTTGTGCCCACAGAGCTCGCTGGTGCTGCGAGGAGGTGCGGGCGACCTCTCATCATTGGGCGCTGAGGCTCTTTTTCCTCTTTCTTGAGCGGGAAAAGCAACTCATCTTGCACGCGAAGTGCTGGTCTGCATCAATACTCCACACGTGTTGTCACGCAGCCGTGCCGTTGCAGTGCAACTCTCGTGATCCTCACTGCACGCGTGGCTCCCTGTCGCTTGGCTTATTTGCAGGGCCATGGCCTGTGGTCCCCCCATTGGGAGGTCAATCACATTTTTTTTTTGTGTGTGCTGTTGAGAGGTGCTAGGAAGTAATGGCTGCGGGGATGGTGATGTTGTGGTTCGCTGTGAGTGGTGACGGTGTGAACTGCTGTTGTGCTGCTTTTCTCCACTTGTTGAGCACAGACACACGCTGGGAAGGAAAGCAAACAAACGCTAAACGCTACTCTGAAATTGTAAGGCTCTAAAAGGACCAACAGCACACACACACATATTTGTATACTCTCACGTGTTGCTGCAGTGAAGGCACCCCGCACACACAACCGTCGCCGCATGACCGGATCCAGCGGAAGGAGGAGGGAAGGAAGAGAGAGTGAGACACAGAGACCCAAAATGTCACGGCGTGTGTTTAATTCCACGGTGCTGCTCCTCGTCATCATGATGTGGATTTGCTGCAACACTGGTGGAGCTGCAGCCGTTGTGGAGGGTAAGTCCGGGGATGCGCCGCTGCCTCAATGGGTCGATATTTTTGTGCCGGAAAAGACGCAGGTGCTGCCCAAAGAGGGGTCTGAAAGTGGAGTGAAGAAAGCATTTGCTGCGCCTTCTCTTGTCAATGCTGGTGGAGTAATGGTTGCCATTGCTGAAAGCTTGTTCGGTTATAACGTCCATGGACATGACTTGTTTGGGATTAAGCCTTACGAAATTGTGGCCGGGTACATCAAGGCTGCGGAGTCGTGGCCGTCCATTGTCGCTGAGGTCAATGCTAGTACATGGAGGGCACACACCGTTTTTGGCAGTAGGAATGGCGATGATCGTGTGTGTTATTTGTACCGGCCCACAGCAGTTGCAAGGGACAATAAAGTGTTTTTGCTTGTGGGAAGCGATACTACAAGATATGACAACGGTGATGATGGGATGTGGAAGAAAGATGGCTGGGATATTCAACTGGTTGAGGGTGTGGTCACGCATTCCACGGACGGCGTGCAGAGTACAATGATCAGCTGGGGTGAACCCAAGTCGCTTTTACAACAGATACCCAAACACACTCAAGATCAGCTGAGGGATGTTGTGACTGCTGGTGGTTCAGGCATTGTGATGCAGAATGACACGCTTGTGTTTCCCCTGATGGTGAGTGGGAAAAATTACCCTTTTTCCATGATCACTTACTCGACGGACAAAGGCAATACCTGGGTGTTCCCAGAGAGCATTTCTCCTGTAGAATGCCTTGATCCCCGCATCACCGAATGGAATAGTGGACAAATTCTCATGATCGTTCAGTGTAAAGATGGCCAGAGTGTGTTCGAGTCGCGTGACATGGGGACAACGTGGTCGAAGGCTGTCGGAGCACTCTCAGGCGTGTGGACCAAGTCAAAACCAGGAGCTCCCTGGGACAAAAGTTTGCATGTGGGAGCCCTCATCACCGCGACCATTGAGGGAAGGAAGGTCATGCTGTACACTCAGAGAGGGTACACCTCGGGGGAGAAAGAGGCCAATGCGCTCTACCTTTGGGTGACGGACAACAACCGTACGTTTCATGTTGGACCGCTTTTTTTGGAGGATAATGTGAATGAGACGCTTGCCAACGCCCTGCTGTACTCGGATGGTGCGTTGCACCTTTTAAAGGAGAGGGCCAATGAAAAAGACGAGGCCATTTCACTTGCCCGTCTAACGGAGGAGCTGAATACAATCAAGTCCACCCTCAGTACTTGGGCAAAGCTTGACGCCTCCTTCTCCGAGTCATCCACACCCACGGCTGGTCTGGTTGGATTCCTGTCCAATACGTCGTCCGGTGGCGACACGTGGAACGACGATTACCGCTGCGTGCATGCATCCGTGACGAAGGCAGCGAAGGTCAAAAATGGGTTCAAATTCACGGGGCCTGGGTCCAGGGCAACATGGCCCGTGAACAGCCGGGAGGATAATAATCAGTACGGCTTTGTGAACCACGATTTCACTGTTGTGGCGACGGTGGTAATCCACCAGGTTCCGAAGGAGAGCACTCCTTTGCTGGGTGCGAGTCTGGGGGACGGTGCCGGCAAGAAGATCATTGGGCTGTCGTACAGCATGAATAAAACGTGGGAGACAGTGTTTGATGGGACAACAAAGACAGCACAGATAGACACTTGGGAGCCGGGGAGAAAATACCAGGTGTCGCTCATACGTCAGGAAGGCAACAAGGGCTTCGTGTACGTGGATGGTGTAATTGTGGGGAGCTCGGGAACGATACCAACACTTGAGACGCTGGGACATGAAATCACACATTTCTACTTTGGGGGCGACGAGGGAGACATCAACAGCAGTGTGACGGTGACGAACGTCTTTTTGTACAATCGCCCACTGAATCCCACTGAGATGGATGCAATCAAGGACAGGAAACCCGTTCCGACGAGAGCTCCAGAACCACAAGTGGAGAGAGCTACCACCACAGAACATGCGGCTGCGGTAAGCTTTACCTCTGCTGGGAGCGGACTGCTGCCACTGCTTCTTCTGCTTGGGCTGTGGGGATTTGCGGCTGCGTGAGTAGTGTGCAGCCTCAGTGTGGAGCACTTGCCCTCTCCTCCGCAGCGACACACACACACCGCTAGGAATATATTTTACTACGCAGAGAATAATTTGTTTTTGTTTTCTTTTAATGTTTTCCATTTTTTCTTTCTGCTTTAGGGAAACCACCATAAGCGTTTTTTTTCTGCTTTTAATTTTTTCCTTTTGCTTTTTGTTCGAGTGTAAATTTTTATGTTTTTTTATGTTTGTTTTTAATCATTTTTGTTTGCTTTTAAAAAAATTTCAGGTTTTTTTTTTTTGCTCCACTCTTTCATTTTGCTTTTGGGGCAATCACTATGGACGTTTTTTTTCTTTTCTACTCTTCCCTCTTTTAATTGTCTCTTCTGCACTCTTCCTGTGAGGGGTGCCGTGTGTTTCCCGCCCAACTGCTCCACTCGCACACCCACCGACACGCTCATGACGACGGCCCTCTGCGCCTCGCCTGCTGCACGCATGAGGAGGGGCCGCGACGAACGGCGCGCTGAGGGAGCCGTGACGTGTGGGCGTGCGACGAGGGCCTGTGGGGCTGAGCACACATTTCTTTCCCTCTTGTTTTTTTTCTTTGCGGCCGGGGCGGGCAGACACCCGCAGCGCCACACACACAGCCACACCCTGCCGCCGTGTTTTTTTTTTGCTGCGCTCACTCTCCCGATGGAGAGACGCGACTCCCGTCATGTCTGCGTGCTTCTCTCAGTCCCCACACACACGAGTGACTGTGCTCTGCGGGCCGCACTCACGCACGCCGATGGGAGGGCTGAGGGGAGCAGCAACACGCAGATGACCCCATGAAATATAAACGGTGTGCGGACACACAGAGGGTCAGACGGCTGAAAGACATTTAAATATGTTTTAATTTTATTTTCGGACAAAATATATGCAGACAGCTTGGTGTGGCCACACGGCAGCCAGGCGAAATGTTTCTTTTGTGTGTAGTTTTTCTTTTCTTTTTTTTTCTTTTTTTGGGTGGAACAGTAGTAGTGGACAATACTTTTTTTTTCTTTTTGTGTGGAAAAGTAATAAAGGAGAACAATTTTTTTTTTGTGGAACAGTAATAAAGGACGACTTTTTCTTTCTTTTTATATAATTATTGTGTGCGAGGGGGGCTAATATATGATGAAAGGGAGTTGTTATTTTTAATTATTTTAAATAAATCTTGTATGAATTGCCGCTGCTTTGTTTGCAGTGCAATATCATGAGCTTGAGAAGTCTTTTTCTCTCCATTTTTGCCATGCACTTCTGCTGTACAGTTTTGTTTGTGCGTCCCTTCACATGCTCCGCTCCTGCTTTTACTTATTTGACTCGTGCTTCTGCAGGCACACACAACCACATAGAATGCACATTGCAGTGTATTTGGATGCTTCTTTTGTAGCGTGTGCTGGCGGTTGCGGGTGGCTGCTGCTTCCTCCGTGGGCATGAAGGGAAGGAGGAGAGAGGGAGCGCGCACCGCGAGTCACTCTTCCTGCGGGTGTGATGCGCGCGGTGGGCTGCGACGGATGTGGAGGGCCGCATCCCTTCCGTGTGCGCTTCTCCGCCGTTGTGCCGTGCGTTTGCGCATGTCATTTGTTATGCGCGTGCGTGCTGGGCATGTTTTTCCGGAGCGTTGGGCGGCCACCATCTGTCTATGGCGGTTTGTGTGAGTGAGCACGTGCGGATGAGGGTCAGGGCGTATGGAATGAAGGAATGGCTTGAGGAAAGGGGAATTTGATTTGGAGGGTATTCGGACCGGATTCATTTGGCTGCGGTGGACACATGCACGACGGATGTGTTTCCGCATAATTGGGGGAGGATGCGACAGGGTTTTCCGAATTGGCCCGTCAATGCAATTCGGGTTTCATGGCACTGAGGCACAGTGGTCTTCCTGCAATGGCTGGTGACGGCCCCTAGTGGAGTGGTGTATTTATGCTGCTGCTGCTGCTGCTGCTCGAGGAGGCGTAGAAGTGCGATTTGAGGTGAGCGACGGAAGGGACGCACATCCCGCAGTGACGGTTGTCGTTGGCCCAGCGGGTGCCTCTGAAGGTTTTGTTGGATGCAACGTCCTTATGCTTGTCTCCGGATGGCGGCATCCCTGATGCAGCCAACGAACGGGGCTGGGAGCGACGGTGAGACGCAAGCACGTGTGGATGTTCGGAGCGGCCGGCGCACCGCACGCTGAGAGCATGGCACGGTGAGGGTCGGACCTAGAAAGGGGACACCGCGTGGGACGTCAATCTTCACTGCAGCGACCGCCACCGAATTCGGATTTGCTCGCATCTTCTGCGGTCCCTCTTCCTCCCATCACTTCTGTGCCGAGGACTGTGCCGCGGGATCCAGCAGCGCGATGTTTGGCCGCAGGAGCATGGCCCGAACAAATGATTTGTGGGAGGAGATGTGCACTGCGGCGGAAAAGAAAAAAATGTTGCGAGACGACCACCACCACAAGAACGGTGTGAAGTTGTGTTTTGTCCACTTGCGCGAGGGCGGCCTGCCACCTGGTCGGTTAGGAGGATTATTTTATTTTGCGTCGTTGCGCTCTCTTTTTATTCCGCTGCGTTTTCTTGCGGACCTGCGAAGGGAGATTTGCAAGAAATTCCTGCGAGGCGTCCGTGCCGTCGTCGGAAAAGCGGATTCCCCCTTGAAAAACGCTGCGTTTTAAATTTGTTTTGGGCGGGAGTTCCTGTCGATTCAACGCGACTTTGTTTTGCGGATTTGATGCGTGTGTTTCCGAGCGGTTCGATCAGTGCTCCCAGCCCACTCGGATGTGGTGTGTGCGTCGACGTGAAGGTGCCTGCCAGCCGTTTTATTGCCTCCCCCGCTGTGGCTGCCGCCGCTGCCTTCCTCTCTTCCTGAGGTCCTGCGGCC